ATTTATATATTTTCCACTTGTGCAAAGACTCTAAGCCCCTCTACAAAATACAGTTCGAGTGACGACCTTAGTATATGTGAGATTCATCTCAACTTGCAAGAACATGGTAACATTTGAAATCAATGATATGACTAATATGCTCAAGTTGGGCAAATGCCTACATTTGTAAGTATAAAATTGAGACTCAGGAAAGCAAATGATGAATGAGGAGTATATTTCTCTTGACAAGCAATACTGCATTAACGTTTATGTTCTTGAAACTCACACGATTTTAGGCCTCAGTGTTTAATTTCTGAAGTGTTTTCACAGATCTTTCACTCTTATGAATTGCTTGGAATATATAACAATTTTCATGGTTGTGATTTTTTCATTTTTCCACATAATTTTGTGAAAAGGAAGGTCATAGCAGTTTAGGTCCCGGAGAGGAGACACAACCATAATAGCAAATACATTTTGAGGGAGAATTTTCACTTTTTGCAACACTAGTAATCTATCTTTGCATAGTTACACAAGCATTATTTCAGAAAATAAGCTGAAACTTGTCTCCCACTGCCATGAACTTTTGCTTGCTATGACTGCAGTTGCTGTTATTTTTTCAAAGAATAAAAAACTTGACATTTCAGGATTCTGATGCAGAAACCAAGCCTTCCAAAACACCACTCCTTAGGTTTAGTTTGTTGGAAGCAAGACCCTGTCCAAACCCAGATTTAGATCAGCATTTTTTTTTTTTTTTCCTTTGGATAGACCTCTACTTTTAACTACTGCTCCATTTCAGTGCTGGTGTTTACCTTGGATTAATGACTAAGTGATGAAGAAAGATGAAGACATTCCTGCCAATGGAGCAACAGTTGTTAATTGCTTAGGAAATGTGACATTATTCCACTAATGTTGTTTAGTGGGATAGCCCATGTGGATGATGTTTAATTGGATAACCCACGTGGATGACCTGACATAAAACTCTGAAACGCGCGCACGCGGGCTGTCTCAGTGCAGGATGATTGCAATCACCGTGAACTGCACCAGAAATCTTAACAAAACGCTGCACTCAGGATTTCCTTGTGATAAGGCTCGAGGGAGTTTGCACTGCAGAGAAAGATTAGGTGGGAGAAGATGCCAAAATGTGGCATGGAAGGATCTGCCTTTTGACAGTTATAAAGCAAAACATTCTCCATCTAGTAAAAAAAGAAATCTAGCCTTCAACCTGCCAAGGGGCAGGACCACGGCACAACCCTCCTGAATGTGTGATGGATGCACAAACTGAGGGACGCCACAAGAAATAGCAGAGAGGAAGCTTGAAATGCTGTTGGGTGCATTTCTTTAATATAAATAAAGTTTTCCAAAACCTCAGTTTCATGATTCAGCATTCCTTTTGGCACTGAAATTATAGTAACAATTTAAAAGTAGGCTAAACAAGTCTGAGGAAATATGCTGGTAAGTTCAGGCCAGAGAGGGGGAAGTCCCTGGAAGTAATAATAAACAAAGACCCCCTCCACCCTCAATAATTGCAGTTTAATTATTTTAATGAGGACTGTCTTAAAGCACTTCAAAAACACACAATAGTTACAATAGCCTCACAATACCTTCTGAGGCTGATATGATCATGCTTATTTTCTGGATACATAAACTGACCCACGGTATTAAAATACTTTAACCAAGGCCTGCTCCAAAACCAATGGGAGACCAAAGAATACACTCTTTAACCTAATTATGAGACAGTAGCAATGTGTATGGAGGAAGCAACTAAACTGAAAATTATACATGGGGTAGATACTGTAGCCAATTCTTTCTTGCTTTCCTTTGTTTTAAAAGTCTAAGTTTTTGCTGCTCAAATTGAGATACTAGTGGAAACTGGGCGGGGGGGCAGCACGTTAAAAAAAAAAGATGTCAGAAAGTTACCTCATGGCTTTTATCAGTATTTTTATTTTTTATTTTAAAAATTATTTATATCATATACAAATAATTTTTATATATAATTTTTATCACTAAGTTTGTTGCGTGGCCTCGGTAAGTCAATGACTGTTGGGCAGCCAGGGACTCAGAACTGTGTGTCTTGTGCACGTGTGTCAAGCATCAGCTTAAATTTCGAATGCTTGTGTATGTCTGTTTCTTAGGACCCAACCCCAGATTCCTTCGGAATTAGGTTTTCCTAGAAGGCTCAGTGCCTGAAGCAGCAATTGCTGCAAGGGAAATGGGTTACCCGATGGGGAGGTCTTGCAGGACACTTGTGCACCTACTGTGCCAAGGCAGGTGGAGGAGATGGGGTGAGGATGGGGCACACCCTGAGAGGCACCTGGAGAACTGCTGCATGTGCTGCGCCGGGGAGGTGCTGCTGCCAGGGAGCCCTGGCTGTTGCTCTGCTCAGAAGAACAGCTGTAAAAATTCACCCTTTCTCAGCTGACCTGCTGTTTGTGCATCCCGGCAGAGAGCGAGTGGCCGACCTGGGTTCCCTTCAGCCTCCCTTGGAGAGAAGACCTGCGGACTAAGCTGTAATGGCAGAGTTCCCTGTCCCCCTGGCATCCTCTGGTTGCTTAGTGCCTACAAGATATCTTTCCCTTGTCATAACTTTAAAGCCATAGAGGGACCAGACCTAGATCCTAACATTATTTGGGAAAGGGTCCTGGCATTTCAGTCGTCAAAGAGTGTACGTTTCTGAATACAATACACCAGCTATAAAGAAAAAATACTTTTCTTTGCATTTTACTGCAACATTTTCAGAATGTACATCCTACTTGATGTGCAAAGTTGCTTAATCAGAGAAATAAAAGCTCCATGAGCTATGAGAGAAAACAACGCTTTTACTTTTCAGTTTTGAGAAGTGCCTGATTTTTAAAAAAATAAGTATTGATACTTTACCCTGTGATTTTCATTAACTTTTGAAGCCATAAATTAATACATAAAGTACCATTGTAAAGGTCAGAGAATCTTATTATCTCTACATCAAACTCATAGTTTTTCTGAAGATCAGCATATATCTTGGAAAGTCCTGTTTAAAGATATAATAATTTAAAAATATTATTCAGTTGTTTAAGTAGAGATGGGCCAGAAACAAAACCTTAGCTCAAAACCTGCATGAATCTTGGGGACTCGCTGGTTCCAATTGATGCTCCAGCTTTGTGGCTCAGTAATCAGAGGAACATAAATTAAAGCTACAGGTCTGAGCACTCCTACTCTGAACACTGTGAGTGATCAGAGCTGCAACTACATTTTGTTCTTATTTTTGTTTAATAGTTAGTACCACATGGCATGCGTGCTCTGCATTTGCAATACCTTGTCTCTATATCTATTAAAAACCCCCAAGCCATAAATAAAAAAACACAATTGGTGAATTTCTCATGGATTGTTAACTTTGGAAAAGATGCACAAATACCTATTAAAGGCAAAGTGAATCATCATGGAATTTCCATTCCACAATAAAAGTGGTATTTCATTTGGCCAGGGAAGAATTCTCAGTTTCACCCTTTTTGCTCTGGCTTTACTGTAGTTTATTGAAATGGCAAAAAGAAACACTCTGATTTTGTTGAAATACAACATTTATGTACTGCAGTTACCTCTGCGATGAAGTTGATAAATTCTTACAAAATTCTTCAATTTTGTTTAGTCAGCATTTTCCAAAAGGAGCATTTCCAGTGGGAAATTTTTAACACTAAGAAGAAAGGCTTAAGTCAGTGTTCAGGATGGAGAGGAAGGTAATGGAGAAGTTAGTCTGTATCCTGTTACTAACCTATTTACATATGGTGACTTCTGTGACTGTGAAACTCCACTTAAACCCAATGCGCATGCTCTGGGCAAGCGTCTTTACATTACAGAGGTAGTCAACAACAGCATGTGATGGAAAAATGAAATTACTTTTACGATCCAATACCAGGCTGGGACAAACTGAAGAGGGTAGAGGATTTGTGGAGATAATTCCTTGCAAGTGCCAAGAAGCAATGATGCTCTTGGCACCCCGGTTTGCAGTGGAGGAGCAGGACAGCCAGCTGGGCAGCGTGGCAGGGGCTTTTCCAGGCTTTGATTGCGTAGCTGCCTCAGGACCCATCACTCCATGCTGAGCAAGACTTGTTTTGCTGATGCAGCCATACTGCTCTCTTTGCTCATACTGATTTGTCCAGAGACAGTCGAAGCATCCCGTCATGGGCCTGGCTGATACCTGGTAGATATGACCCGAGGCATCACTGAATGTATATTCATGTTGTCTTATTTTTCAAAATATTATCACTTAAAATGTAGCCTGTAAAGATGTTGAAAAATGAGCCTGTAAAGAAGTTGAAAAGTGAGCTGAAAAATGATAAATATATGCACTAAAGTGAAAACATATGGCAGGTGCAAGTTATATGCAAATTTTATAATGAATTCTGAAAATATGCTTGAAGAATGAGAACTACAAATTTCTCTAGTCTGGATGGCACATATTAAGGATCACTCGTATGTGCTCCGTGATATTTGCCAGGTCTAAAAGTATGGTTATGCTGGTGAACTTTCATTAATCACTCAATACCCTGAGTGTAATAACGGGCAAGAGTGTTGGTAGTGTGAAGTCATTCTCTAAATTGTGCTCAACGGTTTTAAATGAGGGATGGATGAACTGGCTGCAGTAACTAAAATGCTGAATCTACATAGGACATTCAAAGCAGACATGAGCTCCAAAGATTCACGGATGATCAATTATCACTATTTTTTGCTTTTAAATATGTCTTGCTTTCCACATCTCCTCAGCTGATGGCTGCATGTAGGACTGGAAGCAAAAGTGCCAGAATTCCATTTGTTTGTTATTTCTGGCACAAATCAGATCAGGAATTACTGCAAGATTTCCAACCTCATTTGCCAGACCAGAGAGGTTGGTTTAAGTCTGCATAATTATAGGAAACCAACTTCCAACCTTTCCCCTTTTGCCCATCACCTTGCCTGCCACATGGCAGCACATGGCAAAAGCAATTAATGGCCTCAATTTGGTTATAATGTGTGTTTCTGCTTTTTTTTTTTTTCCCCCCCTTCAGAGCTTTGTCATCTGTGGTGGCTTTAGGAGCTAATATCATCTGCAACAAAATCCCAGGCCTGGCCCCTCGGCAGCGAGCGATCTGCCAGAGCCGCCCTGATGCTATCATTGTGATCGGGGAAGGAGCGCAAATGGGAATCAATGAGTGCCAGTACCAGTTTCGGTACGGGAGGTGGAACTGCTCCGCGCTGGGAGAGAAAACAGTCTTTGGACAAGAGCTTCGAGTAGGTAAGGGTGTCTCTAATATAGTGCTGAAGTGATACGTTAGGGCTGTTTTTCTTTTAGCTTTCTCGCTGCGGTCCTGCAAAGGTTTATATCCCTCTGGTATTTGCCTAGTGGAGTTGAACAGTGATGCTCCCAGAACTGTGGTCTGTATGTCTGCACTCATTGAAAAGTAACTGGCAAGAGACAGGAGATGTCTAGTGATCTCTAGATGAAGTCATTCATATCTGTGCAACTTCATACACATCAATGATCCTGTGAAAAAATATTTCCAATTGTCATCCTGTGAGAAGTTGCCATGATAACCTTGGTGCATATTATGACCAATCAAAAGGGAACTAAAATCAACTCCAAAAGAACCTCTGTGGACTTCCCAAAAACTTAAGTAATGGGAGAATCCCAATTAACTAATGGAAGTACAGTGCATATGACACTGGGCTTCCAATATATGGCAGTGATACATATCCATTTTAGTGTTGCTATCATATTGTAAAGAAAATACTGCAAGTGATTTGAGGCAGGAAACCTATTCAAAGAAAATAATACAGGACCTTGGCCTGACAAACTGTTAGCTGGCAGAAGTTAAACTGATCACTTTCCATTTACCCTATGTCTGATATTATTTCATAGGGGAGATTATGCAAATTTTTTCCAGCACTGAGGTCATTATTTTCCTCATCACCCAGCTGAGTATCCTTAGCCTATTCCTGACCTTCCTTCTCTCCTCCAAGGGCTGCCTGCTTACCAACCTCCATGCTGTCTGCTGCTCGGTATTGGGCTAACATTTTGTGGTGTGCGGCTCTCACAAGGGCCATTCAGCTTCTCAGTGGGGTTGTAGCCTGTTCTCGTGTCCGATTCTTCTTTGGGTGACACCTCTTTCTTGAACTCAATGGTTCGGTGAGTCTTGTGCCTCCAACACAACTGAACGTGGTCAGACATAAGAACTCTTAAAAACTGTGTGAAAAAAGGCATAACATTTCATCCCATCTGTGCAAAGAGGAAACAACTTACATGGTGCTTTGGTTGTTACTGGAGATCAAGGCTTTGGAGTTTTATTTTCAACACCCTTGTGAAATGGATGCCAGAAGCTGAGGTATGCTTAAGTCAATGATGGAACTGAGTATTTTTTTTCAAAGAACATGCAAGTCTGAGAGTCTGACTGAGGTCTGGGCTTTTTAAGGGCACTGTAGCCCAACTGTGAATTGTAATTTAATAAATCAATTGGCACTGGGGGAACTGACTTACACCCTCAGACAGTCTGTCGTATTCTGTGAGCATTACCCCACACCAAATCACAGAAGTGCAGAGGGCTAAAACTTATAGAAAAAAAGACGCAGGAAACCAGATTGATGGGAAAAAAAAAAAATCTGAACTTTTTGAACTTCAGAAAAAAGTTCCATATAATTTGCTTTTGATGCTGAAAAGTTGGTGGTGAGGAATTTGCTCATCAGTGTCTCTTCCCACATTTGTCCTAGGATATTTCTAATTCTGTTTAGAGAATACTTCTTGCCTAACTTTTGTTTCTTAAGAAGAGCGGAAGTGGAAGACATTGAACATTCTCAAGACACCCCATACAGGAAATAAACTAACATTTGACTTCAGTTGACCTTCAGTTTTAAATTTACTAGAAATACATCTGGTCACTGGTCTGGTCCTCCTTGGTTGGTCTTACACTTGTTTGTTGTAAGTTGATGTCCAAAATGATGTTGCTACCAGAAAATATACAGCTGCCAAGCATGCTACCATTGTACTTCATGCTACCAAAGCCTGCAGGCATGCTCCGACCCTTACATAAGCAATTCCTCTTAACTTCTGTGGGATCATTTATGTACTTGAAAAGGCACATTCTGGAGGGTTGTACCAGAGTCAGTGTCATCACAACTTCCTGGTGAAAAGGCTTTCACCACTTTTGCTTTTCTCTGCAAGCTGAGAATCTTGTGACACCTCATCAGCTCTGTCCTTGTACTCATGAGTAGTAATCCTCTTCACCACAGAGAGACTCCTTTCATCCTCAGAGACCTTGCAAGTGGGCACAGTCCAAATGAGGACTAAAGAGGACTACAAGTCATGCCTGTGCTTTCGTTCTGAACATTCTATGCAAAATAAGAGCTACAGGGAACAAAAAATTTTTGGCATCAGGATGGACCAGCTATCAGGTTGGTCAGACTATACAAAGTTTGAAAAAACCCCGGAGTTTTCCTGAGCCACTGTTCAGGCCATATTTGCCAAAATATTCACCAGATTCTTGACCTCTTCACCGAACCTGGGTGGTTTCTTGCAACTCTGAAATGACTGATGTGGAATTTGGTGGGTTCTTTTATGGCTTAACCCAAACACAGACAAAACTTGGCAGTTACAGCTGAGTTCTGCTTTGACATTTGTTGGGTGTGAAACCACACAAACTGTAACGGATGGAGAAGGTTTACATGACCCCTGCCAGCAGAGCCAGATGAGTTCCATGCAGGTCTATAAAGGATCCTGTAATCCACATGTCTTTATTTGTTTTATTAGTGGAGTAGCACCCAGAGACAATGTGGTCAGTATCTAGGAAGAGGACAGAGTTTAGGAAGTGGTGTTATTATACTAGTGAGGAGGGAAAAGTAAAAAAAAAAAGACAAAAAAAGGACAAAGCTTAAAAAAAATACTTAAAAGGTACAAAATACTTGTAAGTATAAATATTCACATATGTAACAAAACACATCCATGTCTGACACATACAGAAACACAAAACCAGACATTTGGTTCTGGGTGAACAGACTGAAGGAAGGATGAAGACTAAAAAAGAAAGGCATGTTTTTCACTTCATCCCGAAGGAAAGCTCATCTAGGCTCTTCCCAGAACCGCTTAGGGAGATGAACAATCATGGCAAATTATTCAGGTCATAGGGAGGAGAAGGCAGGTAAGCTACGATAACATGATGTTAATTGCTCTCTATCTGTGTGGGAAAGAGAGGACCTACTCTTTAGCCACTGGGCCAAGGCTCTACCATGAACACTGGCAAGTGCAGATTTAGGGTTATTCTAATTCATATACCAATGCAACACTCCCCCATCGAAATTCAAAACAAGCCCTCAGACTCACCCAACATGAGTTTTCTCCAATAGCTGTGCATCTGTTGCCAACGCCGCCTCTTGGGTACCATTGCATTCCAACTATGCATGTCTTCCAGCCACAACCAGTAGCAGCCAGAAGGCATGACACAGGAGAAAATGTCCACCCTTGCGACATCTGGTAATTGTACTGTGCCAGGGGAATCCCCCATAAGCCAGCTAAGCTGGGTCAGTGCTGAGCTATTTTTTCAAAGAGGTACTTCAGTGAATGAGTGCTGTACCACCTATGTAATATACGGCAGTCTGTCAAAAACAATTGAAATAGTTTGTTCAGAGGACAGAATAACAACTGTAGCAATTATGTTAGACATGGGGCATTTGTGTTGGTGTGAAAGATTTATAGCAGCCAGAGATAAAAAGTTACAGAGAGATCCAAATTAGTAGCATGAACAAAGGATGTAGCATGGGATGAATTAGTCAAGCATTGTGTATTACTTTTTTTGGGTATATTTATAGCTGGGAACTTTTCCATAGTCATGCTATCCCCAAAGAAATGTCACTACTACACTCACTTTGCTCATCCTGTCCCTGTACGTACTTGTGTTTGTCACCTTCGTGCATTCATCCCTAGTTTTCATGCCAGCTTCTCACAGTTCTCTTTTGCACTCTCCACTCGTTCCTCTTGCTGTGAGCCTGTTTAATGAATTGCCTCTTTAATGAATCACCTTTTTAGAGATTACCACTTTAACAAATGGATTCACAAATTAATTGGTTAATGATATATCAATTGTTATTATGTGCTTGGTAACCATTGTTGAAAGATAATTGTCCTTCCAACTCATTGAAGGCAAGGACTGTGATCTGGAAGTCTATAGCCTCTCACATTATTAATGCGAAAGAGCTCCAGCACTAAGGACTAGTCTCTATTTCCCCAAATCGTGATTGAAGCAATCTATCAATCATGTAGGTACCTCTAAAAGTTACAAATCATTAGTAACAATTGGAAGCAAATAACTCCAAGCAAAAAAGCAAGCAGTGCAGCCTCTGGAGTCAGAATCAATAACAGAAGTGAAACCTACTGTTTTCTTTGAAAGTAGATTATTCTGGCTAATTATTTGTGCATTGACCATAAAATTGAAGTGCTTATTAACAGACTGTTCTTACCAGTGCTAAATCCAGGGCAAAAGTTTGTTTTGAAAAATATAGCTGTTAAGACATCAATAGTAATCTGTAGATGTCTCCTTTGTCAAACTCATGGTGTGGAAAATGATTATGATTTAGTAGTTTTCATTTGACTGTATCATTGATACAGTGATTTGGCAAATCATTGACCTGGACACCTGTCAGGGAAGAATCAACAAATTGGCAAAAACCAAGGGGGTTCTGAATTTCTTTTAAAAAATCTCTGACCTTTGGTATTGATCTGTAGATTTCTGACACGTTGAAAGGACACATCTGAAGTGACGTTAAAGGCCTGCTTACTGTGGGAGGTTTAGGAGAACAACATCTTAAGAAGCTTCCTGTTTCCACGCATTTGCTCAACTTTTGGTCCACTCTCCAGGCGGAAAGGGGGAGGGATGGGAGAGAAAATTACAGTTTTAAAGACTAACAAAGTCTGTGCAGGGATTTTATTAACTCACAGGTGAAGAAGACTTTACAAGTTATTTTGGGCAACACAATCAGAAAATAAAGTTGAATGTCATAGTTATATACAAGCATGCACTCATACATATAAACTGCTAAGAAGGCAGCATAATTTCTAACTAAGACTAAGAAAGGGAGAGCAACATCTTCTGAAGGCAAGATACTGATAGAAAAAGTGATTCTTTCTACATTTGTACTGGAAGCAGGTAACTGAGTCCACATTGGATCCCAACGTTTTAGCTGCAGGCCTGAAAGAACATGGGAACTGGACATGAACGATATGTAAGTGATGACGTCATGGAGAAATGGTGG